TAAGCTTTTTGGATCGGACCACTGACCCAACGTACACAACAAAACTTCAATACATAACAATAAGCGCATTCACAACTTAAACATCTTTAATATATCCAACGATTTCATATCAGAGCATATAATAAACTTAGCTGTCAAATTCCAAATCCATTCAAGTTGTTCATTTGGTTAACTGGTCAAGGTGTGATTAACCAATTTTTATTATTAAAATTTGAAATCATAAAATACTTATATGTATGCATTGCAATATCCTAATGGTCCCCCAAATATAAAATAAAATTTCATTGCAAGTCTTTGATTTAAGGCCATGTTTGGTTTGCAAGAAGATTTGGGTGGGATGAGAGAGAAAAACGGAAAAGCGGTTGAAATTTTCATGTTCCATATTTTGGTTGCAAAAGGGTAAATAGTGGGAAAATCAACCCAAGTTTAATTAATTAATTAATTAGTAATGTTTTACTTATTAATATTTTCATAAAATAATTTTATAATTAATAATTATTATTAATTACTTAAATTATTAATTGTTATTAGATTCATAAACCAAAAAAATATTAGATATTTAATAGCATATTAAAAAAATAATTGAAGAAAAAAATTCATAAATAAGATGAAATAGAAAATAGTGAAAAATTAATCAATAAAAATTTCATAAATAATTATTTTTTGAAATGAAATATTAAAATTATTAATTAAGTCATAAGTATTAAGAAAATAAAATATTAATTATAAAACGTAGAATAGTAAAAATTCAAAAAATAATTTTTATTATCAATTAACTTAGAAATAACAACAAAGTATTTAATAATTTTATTAAAAGTAATTAAACTAAGTAATTTATCGATGAAAATTAATTTTGTAYATTATGAATTAATAATATTAAAATATTAAATTTATGAATTAAGTCATGGAAATTAATAAAATTTAATATTACTAATAACTTATAAACTAACAAAATGTAAAATGTTAATTAATTAAAATAATTAACTAACTAATTATGTATTTTAAATAATTAATATCTAATTAAGAATGAATTACTAAATAATAAAAAGTATTWTTAGTTACTAATTAACAAAAAAACTAATATTTAATTAACTAAATAATTAATGAATAAATAAATCAGGATTTTATTATAAATCTAATTAGTGATTCAATAATATGATTAAATAATAAAAATTCTAAATAATTAATAGTAAAAATAATATTATTAATTAATTCACATTAATTGTTAATAAAATAAATTTGAAATATAATTCTTAATAAATAATTGATTAGAAAATTATCAACATTAAATAATTATAAAGTTTTTCAATAATAAATTAATAAATTTTACTAGGGTTGATTTTCCCACTATTTTCCCTTTTGCAACCAAACAATGGAACATGAAAAAATTTCCACCCATTTCCCCTTTCCCATCCCGCCAAAATCTTTCCACAAACCATGCACAACTGTAAATCAAAGACTTGCAATGAAATTTCTTCTATATTTGGGGTACCATTTGGGTATTGCAACGGATACCTATAAGTATTTATGATTTCAAATTTCAATAATAAAAAATGGTTAATCATACCTTAACCAGTTAACCAAGAAACAACTTGAATGGATTTGGAATTTGACAGTTAAGTTTATTATATACTCTGATATGAAATCGTTGGATATATTGAAGATGTTCAAGTTGTGAATGCTCTTATTTTTATGTATTTAAGTTTTATTGTGTACGTTGAGTCACTGGTCCGATCCAAAAAGCTTATTATATGTTCATTGACAAGCTCTTATTGATATGTATTGACACTTAAGTTTATTATATCATTGAACTTTCTATTAAATTGTTAAGAGACTATTATAAAATCTTCCAATCATTGTATTCCACACTAATTGAAAAGCATGGATCTATCATGTTTATTAAATTCTTAATAAACAAAGATTCTTGAATATTTTAGAAAATTAGACCCATGTAACTAGGAACTCATCAAGTCAATTTTGGGTAATTATTGTTTAGACTCAACAAAGGCTCAAATATTAGATATGTTTGTCTCTATTTTCTTGACCTTGTCGTTGGAGATCTTTGTTGTTTATGGTGATGGAGAGTGATTTCAACTGTTTTCATTATAACTACTTGTGGCTTCAATTGTTTTCATTTTGTTTGAAAGTCTGTCTTGTGAAAAAGTAGATAACAGAAGCATTAATTTTCCACTTCCAAAACATTTTCTCTAAAACACCCGAGGTTGCGTTGCGGCCTTGGAGATTGGATAAGAGAGTTGATATCTTCTTCAACTCTTTGTTTTCTAAGTTCAACCTTGGATAAGAGGGCAGCTATCTCATTCAACTCCAAGTCCGAGGTTGGGTAGTAGCCTTAGAAACCTATGAACTATCCGTTAGAAGAAATCTCACTCATGACTTGTTGAATATGTTAAAACATGATGAAAGTTTTTCATTGGTCCAATTGTGTTGGTGTTTCCAGAGATGTCATATCGGACTGAGTTGTGTAAGGAGACAATTACTAATTGCCATTATATACGTAGTGAGCATCAAAGGGACCCTTGGACATGGTTGTACAGGCCTCAACCAGAAAGGGGATGCTTGGACATGAACATGTGACTTCTCTCATTTTTTATATGTATTTGACAATGATTTAAACGCAATTGAGTACAATGTAGCTTCGGTCATCTAGAGAATTGATTCCAAGAAATTGGTTGTTGTCGAATGTGATTTTAGTTTTGAGAAACAAGAAATAGATGATTGTGCCAAACACATTTGGCGATTCTCGGGATGAAGATTCTCAGAATCCATTCTTTTCAAATGAAAGGATTCGATTGGATAAACAAACAATCGACTAATGATAAAAAACACCGACAACTAGAAAGACAAAGAATTACATAATATGAAGCTAGCTAGCTAAAGCTTTTTAGTAGCTAGCTAAATTGATAAACTTCCTGAGTTGTTTTATTTTTTTCCTTTGTGAATATTCTACAAGGAATACACATTTCTTACAAATATAGAAAGCAACTAGAAACCCTAGAATTAAAAAACAAATCCTATTGGAGTCAGCTACATTAATCCTATGTTGTCATTCCATTTTTTTCAATGCCTTATATAGATAAATTATGGACCCTTAAATGATTTCTCTCTACTACAACCCATGTCTTTATCMATGGCTCTTCTAGCCTCTAGAACTTGTAACAAATCACTTCTTACAGATTTTGTAGATGGTCTCCTTTGCACRTAACAAACCTTCTTATTCTACTTTCCCTCATTTTATTACCTGTTGAAATACTCCTAGATTAATTCAAAAAAGCTGATTTCTAACCT